TTGATTTAAAGAAGATTTTGATCTTTTTCGTGTTCGTCGGATTTGGAGTTAAGATGATTTCTTATTTTCCTTCACTTTTGGGGTTTCTTTAGCACTTTGTGATTTTTTTCTTCACTTTTGCCTTTTTTTCTTTATGGACCTTGACCCTATTTATAGGAGAAATTCGTTAATAATTTTGATGACCACTCAATTAATTGAATTATAATTAATTATAATTAAATAATTATGGATTTTGAAAGAGTGAGATGGACCTTTAAAATTTTATGGGCCTTAGTAGGCTTTAATTTAGTAAATTTAATTGGGCTAGTTATTTAAATTACAATCCATTATTTGTTATTTTATTTTATTTATTTAGTTATTTTTTTATATCTACAAATACCCTCTCAAGATTTATTTATTTATTTATTAAGAAATAAATAAATTAATAAATCTTGATTTACGATTTCTTTTTTATTTATTTAACATAACCGTTATTCAATTATTTATTTATTTTTCACAATTTCTAACTTACTTGATTTTATTTATTTATTTATTTATTAACATACTTTTTATGTTTTATAGTAAGTTCGGTTTAAGTGAAGCTCGATACTTACCAATTTATATGAACAAATTATTAGGTTTGGAGACAAGTGTATCAAACAACGGTATAAATTTTTTTTCTCTTTTTATTCTCTCTCCATCTTCCTTTCTTTTTTTTTTTTTTTCTCTTTTTTTCTATCTTTCCATCTTCCTTTCTTTTGTCTCTCTTTCTTTCTCCCTTCCTCTTTCTTTCTTTTCTTTTTCTCACCAGTTTCTCACGTTTTTTTTCTCTATCTCTCTCTCTTCTCTCTATCTCTCTTTCTTTCTTTCTCTTTCTTTTTTTTATGTCAATTTTCACGTTTTTTTTCGTATGAATAGTATCGTACACTGTTCAAGTGAACAGTAATTTTTTTATTTTAAAAGTTATAAGATTGGATCTAAAATTTTTTCTTTTTTATTTTTCGGGATTCAACTTTTGGAACAAGTCAAAGATTTTGAGGTTTAAGATTTTCTTGGTGTACAATAAAATTTTGTGCTGCAATTATTTTACGGGTTCAGAAAATATTTGTTCATGAACAAACTGAAGACCAAGGGCTGCCACTTTTCGCCATCCGAGATACTTTATGTTTGGGACCAATGATCGACTCTTTCGATCGTCCAAGACACTTTGTGTTTGGGACCAGGGACCGGCTCCTTCGACCATCCAGGGCACTTTGTGTTTGGGACCAAGGACCGGCTCATTCGACCATCTAGGGTACTTTGTGTTTAGGACCAAGGACCGCCTCCTTCGACCGTCCGAGACACTTTATGTTTGGGACTAAGAACCGGCTCCTTCGACTATACAGGGCACTTTGTGTTTGGGACCAAGGACCGACTCCTTCAACCGTCCAAGACACTTTGTTTTGGTAGCCATTTACATATCTGAGAGGCTCATCATTTAGATAATAAATGAATCTAAAAGATTTACTGTCCATTAATTTTTTTTTTTTGCTAACTTTCCTCCTCCCATTTTTTTTAGAAATGACTAAAACAAACTCTATTGTGATATACACGAAATCGTCGAACTCAAAAGTTAAGGCCAAAGTTATCTTCATTTCAAAGATAC